GAACGATGAATGTGATTGATGCGCTCTATGGAAGGGACAAAACTTGGAACCTCTGCAGGCGTCAGGCAGACCTCGACCTGCGCTCTTTAAACGTGAACGGTCTTGCCTCAGCAAAAGCCTCGAAGCGCCAGGCCATCTTCGACCAACTAAAAGGCGTGGACGGGAGACACTCGCCCGACGTCGTGTGCCTGCAAGAAACCCACCTCATGGACACCCCTGGCCATAATCATATGCACAAAGAACTCTGGCCACACCAGGCCTTTCGTGCCCATGCACCGCGGCCCGGTAGTGGAGGGGTGGCCATATGGCTCCCCCCCGAATCTAAAGTGGAAATGCTTAACTGGGCGGCAGACGAAATCAAGGGCAGGTGGGTTTACCTTCTGGCGATGTTGGAACTGGAAGTAGTCACTATCCTAACCATCTACGCCCCCAATGATCTGCCATCCAGACAGACCTTAGAGTCACTAAAAGATAAACTCCCTGTTGGTATCCCAACAATCCTGGCCAATGTCTTCAATGCGGCTCCAGACAGATGGCTGGATCGATGGAAGACTCCTTCCCCTTGCCCGGCTTACATGGAGCACGATGAGCGAATGATTGCTGACCTCTCTCAATCCCTCAACTTGTTTGATACCTGTCGAAGAAGCCACCCGACTGACCGTCGCTTTACATGCTACCGCAACAACTCGACGGAGAGAGCATCGAAATCCCACATCGAACTTATCCTCACTTCTGAAGACTTACAAGGGGACCTGCAAATTGCAGAGATACTCCCTCCTAGCCCGCATCCGGGCCTGGACCAGGCGATGTACCTGGCCACCTTCTCATTCCGGAGAAAACTGGATCAAGGTAAGGGCTTTTACAAACTCAACACATCTCTCCTCACCTACGACCGTTTCATCAACTACCTTCAAGACGTCTGGTCCTTTTGGAAAACACAGAGGGACCTGATCAACGACGACATATTATGGTTCAACAACGACCTTGCCTTTCTCAGCCGCAAGTGCAATGAATACTCTAGGTTACTCGCGGCACGTCGCCATGCTGAAGAATTAAATTTTCAGCCATAACTTCAACAACTACAAATGCAAGAAGACGATCTTCAAGATCTTGAACATCAAACAAAACTAAGCGAGACCATCCAAAACCTTGAAAATCAACTCATGCACCACATGGAAGGTCAACAATCGAGGCCTTAGAAGACCCGAAGCACCACCAAGGGCCTCTCCACACATCCACGACTGCATGCACAAAAATAGCAAGAGACTTCTATCAGGACCTTTTCACTTCCGAATGCCAGTGTCCCGATAGAGGACAACGCGCAGAAGAGATAAACACGTTTCTGCGCCCTCTCTGCAAATCCCTGTTGGAGCAACAAAAAGAAACTCTTGACTCCCCCATAACAAAGGAGGAGATACGAGAGGCGCTGAAACAGATGGAACAAGAAAAAACCCCGGGCCTGGATAGGCTCCCCAAAGAATTATGGGAAGCCGTGTGGTCCTGTATGTCCCAAGACCTTATGGAGTACTACCACGCGGTCTGGAGCACGGGACAGACAGGTGAGATAGTAGGGCAGGGAGTGTTAACGCTCCTCTACAAGAAAGGGGCAAGGACAAACATTTGGAATTACAGGCCCATCACCCTCCTCACGGTGGTCTATAAGCTGATAGCGAAAGCTTTGACCAATCGTATGACCCCCATGATGAGGGACATTATTTACCCCGACCAAACAAGGTTTATCCAAGGCAGACACATTCAGGATAATATTCTCCTAGTCAATGAACTGATCAAGCTAACTAGGCAATCGAAGAGCAACGCAACAATCATCTTCATTGACTTTGAGAAAGCATATGACCACGTGGATTGGTTTTTCCTTGACAAATGCCCGGAGAAACTCAACTTTGGGACAAACTTCCGCCGCTGGATCCTGAGTCTCCACGGGACCGCAACCACGAGGGTAATGATAAATGGCAACCTGGGCCCCCCCATTAGCCTCCAGCGATCAGTCCGTCAAGGTGACCCCATAGCACCTTACCTATTCGTAATTGTCATGGAGGCACTGTCCGCTAACCTGAGGGCCCACAAAGATCTCAAAAAGGTCCAAATTACAGCAATACCGGAGGAGGCAATCCCGGTCTGCTCGCTATTTGCAGATGACCTGACCCTGATAGTGGATGCCTCCAAGGACTCAATGGACGAGTCGCGCCACATGATGGATCGTTTTTGCAGCCTGTCTGACATGCAGGTAAACTGGGGAAACAAAACCCTGGGATGGTGGATACACCACCAAGGTGTGAGACCCCTAGAACATCCCAGGATCAACTGGATCCCTCCAGAAGCCCCCATCAGGGTCCTAGGTATCTCTATGACGGCAGAAGGAAGACCACCAATGAACAACGACTGGATCACCACGCCCCCCTTGGCCAAAATGGCCCTCTGGAGGAACAAACACACATCGCTGTTTGGTCGTGGCCTGGTTGTAAACAACGTGGTGCTGGCCACTTTGTGGTACAAATCAGTCATCTGGGCACTAGACAAGAATGCTCTACATCCACTAAAGCACCAGATAGCCGCTTTCTTATGGCGGGGAGACCACGAACGACAAAATGTGATCAGTCGAGTAGCCTGACACTTTATAATCCAACCCAAAACTAAGGGAGGCCTGGGCATCATCGACCCCCTTTTACAGACCAAGGCACTGGCCCTACAATGGCTCAAACGCCTCCTCTTCGATCCCGAGATCCCCTGGAGAAGGCTTGCACTAGAACAAATTTCCCGGCTAGCCCCACAAACGCCAGCAGAGATTGACCCGCTCACATGGTTGGAAAACAGGGAATGGCCCATCCCGCGAGCAAGAGTGCAACAAAGGGACCCCCTCTCGGACTGCCCCCGGCAAGCAGCCAGAGTTGATCTGTGAAGCGACCCCTTCTGGCCCTCCCTCCTCAGGACATGGCGGAGCCTCCCCCTCCCTGACAAGACAGCGCTAGAACGATGGGAGGAGGTAGCACGCCAACCCCTCTTTGGAAATCGATGGGTGGTGGACTCGAATGGCCGTATGCTCCTCTGCACAGATTCCCCTTGGCAGAATTCGCTCCAAAAACGGATACTAAGGATCATAGACATCTGGGACGAGGACCGGAAGGACTGGATTGCCCCGGACCAGCTACGGAAAGAAGTGCGCTATTGTCACCGACCACACAAAGACTTAGAGAAGCTAATAGAAATGATCCCGTTAGCCTGGTGGAAAACTCTCCGCAAAGGCCCCTCCTTGCAAGTATCTGACTGGGTAGCAGTCAAACACCAACACGGCAGGGTGGGGAGGGTGGTCCGCTGCCCACAGAACGGGACAGTGGTGCTGGACCTCTCACCGGTGGGACAAGATAATGTTATCCAAATAAATCTCAGGGAACAGGAAGCAACATACCGAACAGAGACAGTATATAGAATCAGGGTACTGTATGAGAACGACCAGTGGATTGCTTATCGCCCCGACACCCCCCTTCACCACCTGGCCCTGGACCCGGTGGACTGGGTATGGTCGGTCCAAGGAGGGCAGGGGAAGCACTTCACAAAGTCCTTCTTCTCCCTAACTGTCAAAGCTACTTACAGGCTTCTTAGACCAAAGGCAGCACTGCGTGACCGGGTGGGCGAACGCTGGAGGAACCATCTCAACATAAGCAGACAGGAACTGAGGCCAATTCGCTGGTTCAAATCAATCAAAGCAAAACCCGCTAAGCAGGCATCCCTCCAATGGCAAATAGAGCACCGGTGCCTCCCGACAAATAACTGGCTGATTGATAGAACGTCCCTGGAGCAGCAGGGGCGGGCTCTCCCATGGTGTCGCCTCTGCACAAATGCGTTCCCCTCTCGGAAAAGACCAGAAACAATCGAACATATTTTCCTCCAATGCCCGGGCACACTTTGGCTATGGAGATGGTGGGACAGAGTTTGGGATCAACTGGGCACAACAGCCCAATGGCCGTGGGACTGGAAGGCCTTGTTGTGTGAGGCCTGGCCCAAGGACCTAGCTGCTCAGATGGATGATTTCACGGAAAATATGCTCAGGATGGGGCGACGGGCAATCATCTGGGCCATGTGGCGTCGACGCTGCATCTTCGAAATGGAGGGAGCACGACTGGAAGGCCCCGAACTAACAGAGTGTGTCCAACAACTGATCCAGACCGAAATAACAGCTAAATGGAATGCCCTCATGGCACAACTCAAACTCCTTCACAAACAACAAGACATCAAGCAAAAATCCGGGACTTTTGCTCATGCTGGCTGGTGGGTGCAAATGGAGGACGGCTGGGAACGGTGGAATGGCAGGGCGAACACACGGCGCCCAGGGAAGACCAACCGCTGGAGGAGATCATAAGAAACTACCAGCTGCGGTTTCATGAATGGACCCAAGTGGAGGCAACGATCCCATTGAAACCCCCGGAAAATTTCCCTGATTTCTTCCCCCCCCCTGCCAACAGCCTAGTGGACATGAAGTGGTATGGAATGGATCCTGCATGACACCAGGGGTGGGATTAGTGAGTGGGACTGCTGGATTCACTTTCCAGTGGGTAATAGAGGGAGGGTGACTAGATTGCTGGAGTACATATCAAGCGCCTGTGCTAGGGTGAAGAGGTTCCCCCCCCCCTTTTTTTTTTTTTTTCAGCAGCTTACTCGGTCAACCCCCTGGACCTCTAGGGTACCTCAGGCTGCTCAGTCAATCCCCGGAGAACAGGGTAATCAATGCTGGCAGACCTCTTACTCACTATTCTGACTGTTCTCAGACATCCTCTATTTTTGTTAAAGGGACGCTGGACCCGTTTTCCAGCAGGTAATGCTCCCCACCAATAGATGGAGCCTCCCTCCAGGTGTTCGCACTGTCTGCTCTTACCAGCAGCACTAACACCGGCAAGGGCGTGTTTCCCAAAAAAAAAAAAAAAAAAAAAAAAAAAAAAGCATAGTCGAAGTGCCGGAAAGCGCGACGTCCGCATGCACTCTTAACACGAAGGGGAACACAACGTCAGGGCGCAAGGAACGTAGCAAGTCGCGGACCGGATGCCACGTGTCAAGCCAGCGATAGAGGAATCACCACGCGCTGATTCAAAGCCTTATCTCCACATGCAGATAATGACGGGGGAGAAGAGGGGGGTCGAAGAAAGTGTAGTAAAAGGCCCCCATATCCAAACTCGAAGCGTGCTCGGACGCGAGGTTGTCCACGAACCTCTCAACGATATCTCCGACGATGTCAGGCATCGACGTATGCTCGTCGGGGACGAAATCCCCCGTCTTCTTCACCCATAGGAGCACATGTGACAATGACCGCCTCCGAAAACCGAGGGGAGCATCAATGTCCACGGCAGCTCTTCCGTTAACGTCGACGTCGTAGAAACGGTATGATTTCTTCGTTATTTCCCGGCCGAACGCATCCAAAGGGCGGTTGAACCACCCGTCGTGCTCGCTGCGCTTCTCCCAGCAGAGCAGCGTGTCTCCGCGCACCACCTCCCTCCAAGCCAGCTCAACGGCCATCTCTCTCTCTCTCTCTCTCTCTCTCTCTCTCTCTCTCTCTCTCTCTCTCTCTCTCTCTCTCTCTCACACATCCCCCACCGATCGACCACACTGGACGACTAGCGCTACACGGGTGTTGACAGTCGGTGGCAGTGCAGCGCAAGGCAGTGCTGTCCACACGAAACAAAGCGGAGCATGAAGGTTCCTATATACCATCACACCGCCCACTCCAGCCGATCACGACCACCACCTTCACGCAGACAAACCCCTCCCCTTCCTGGGTGAAAATGTTTTGTTTTTTTTATTATTATTATTTTTTTTTTGCCCTTCTCGTCCCCGTATCTTGTCGTATGGGGGGCCGGACGTTTCGATTACGACAGCCGACGGTGACATCGGAATCTCGATTTTATTGTTTTGTATTTTTTTTCCGACGGATCGGTGTTATCCCCATGCAGCGTGCGGGGTGTTGCTGTCTTGTCCCTAAAATCCAGACTGCCATCTGCGGCCACGGTGGAACACCAGCCCCAACAACCCTCCCATCCGACCTTGCCTGGCTGTGATTTCGCCGCTCCTTGTCACCGCTCATGTCCCCCCCCCCCCCCCCCCCCCCCCCCCCCCCCCCCCCCCCCCCCCCCCCCCCCCCCCCCCCCCCCCCCCTTGTTCCCCGGCAGGTTGTCTGCCACGTCTACCTGCCATCACACCCACGAGCAACTCCAAAACGGAGTTCCCCTGCCGCATTGCCCCCGCGACATGGCCGATCTCCGTTGCCATGTCGCCCAGCCATGCCACCATCAAAGCCGCCCCTTCTGTGGTAGCCGAAGCCAACGTCCCAGCAGCCGTGTCCAGACCGTCGCACAGTCTTCGGCTCGTGTCCTCCATAGCCGCCGTCATCGCCGACACACCTTGCCCGACATCAGAACCACGAACTTTCCCGGAGTTCGTCCTCCGAGTCTTCGGTGCGCCACCTGAAGTCTCTGTTTCCCCACCCTCTAACCCCGCCTCGCTGGCAGTTGCAGAACCCATCCCTCTCAACTCCTCAGACGCCATTGTGTTGTCCATGGTGAAAGCAGCCTTCAGGCGGTACCACTCCATCGCATCCCACAACGGCCGCTCGAAAGTCATGGGGATGTTCAATTTCTTTCTCTCCTCCGTTGTTAGATCCAGTATGGCTGTTTGCCCGATCCATCGCATGCATCCCTGATTTCCCGAACCTTTTTCTGTAGCTCCGTCCATTTCTTTCGGCAATCTTCTCCTGTGCGTGCATACCCGTTCTCCTTCATGCGGTCCTCCATCCAATCGTAACGCCTGCCCCTTGTCATGAGTGAATGAGCTCCTTTTGCATCAGCCATGAGAGCATCGTCCTCGCCGCTGATTTTTGCCAACAACACTTGCTCCTCTAGAGTCCACAGGGTGTTCTTCTTCGGCACCGCCGTGGACTTCCCCCCCTTTCGCCGCTCTCCAGCACCACCTTCTTTCGGCGGTCAACCGCTTCCGCCGTCCTCCATGCTGCATTCCCGACTTCTCGCACTTGTGTCTTGCGTTCCTCCTGTGTTTGACACGTTTCGCCCTTGTCGTTCACTTGTAACACTGTCCACACCTACAGTCGGATGCGAAAAGTGCAGTCTTTCACCGTCCCTTGATCGCCAATTACCCGATGGTGGTGTATGGACTCCCCGACTCCCACTGCCCCGCTGGCGATCACCTCCACCTGGCGTAGGGGCAGTTGCACCTCCATCGTCGTACCGTATGGTACCCGGCCCCATTGGAGTTTGTTGTCGGTAGCCCTGATCAACCGGAGATGACCTGCCATTCACAAAGGTCTCGCCACCACCCACAACGCCGCGGCTGACAACAGGCTGCGCTAAAGGCGGCATGCATTGCAGCTGATGTGATGATGGTTGCGACGACTGCTGCGGATTACTCCCCCACGCCCCCGCGTCCGTCCTTGAAGATCCCCCCCTTCCAGCATGTGGTTGCGGAGAATGGAAGGCAGTTCCACCTATGGACGACTGCGTGCCCCGAGGTTGCGACTGAGGCGGGTACATCCCCCGGCCAAAGGGCGATGATGAGTCCATCAACCCCACGATGTAAGCGGCCCGGGGATCCGCGGCTCGTGCCACGAACTGGAATCGTGTGTCACCGGACAATTGAGAGTCCGGCACGTATTGCCATGCTGCTGCCGACAGGCTCGCCCGGTATCTGCTGCTTTCTAAATGCGCGTCCATGTCCTCGCACACTTCCACGCCCTGTGACTCTCCCGATTCGTTGTACAACTGCAAGGTGAAACTGCCGCCATCCATAGCTATCACCGCATACGGAGATCCGACTCCCACACGCCACAGCCGAGGTCAGCCCCTCCGTGACCGGATGGTCACGAGAACTGCGGCCACACACACAGCAAGTACCGCCAACAAAAACACCGCGAGACCAAGACATACGACGAACGCCCAAACGAACACAACAACGACGTTCCGCCGACTATGAAAGCTATGGCCCCCTTCGATGACGATGACGGTCGGTGCACACACTCCGCAATGGTGCACAGGGAACGACGTGTCCGACGGTGCTCTTCCAGGTAGCTGGAACGGAAACGGCAGTGGCACAAACAAGAAGATGGGCTGTTCGCCGGCCCCTCGCACTTCCGCGGCTCGGACCGTCACCCGAGGAGGAAGCCTAGGCAAGATGGCGGCGATGTCACCGTTCGCCTGTGACGAGCTTCTCCAACAACCGGATATGACAGGCGAACGGCTGGCGCGCAACAACGTCATAACCTCGCTTGCAGGTGCATGGGCGCACCATAGCCGACTGCCACAGTCGAGACGCCCACCTGCTAAAGTCCGTGCATGGAATGCATGGCTTTCCGTGGACCCGCAATCTGATACCCTCGCAACATGAAGCAGGCGACGACCCAGACCATGTGCAGAGGTGGCAAGAGAGGACCAAGGCCGAAGTTGGCAATGGAGGAATCCGACTGTCTGCATGGGAAGGCGTTTGGCCGACGTTCGGATATGGCTGCTGCGATCCGCCCGTGCGTCGCCGAACTGTCTGTACTCTCCCACAGCAGAGCAGATACCCGCAGCTGACACGGCTGGCCCACGTCGCCTGCATGTCCGCACCAAGGCTGCACGTGAGAGGGGAAGTTCGAAATTCAAAATTTTGAAAACGGACGGAAAGAGCGGTATTTTTTTTTTCCCCTCCGCGAGTGGGACCGGTACCCTTTCAAACGGCCGTACGCAGTGGGCGACAAGGAATCCTGCTCGACCGTGCACCAGGTCCTCGTCGGAATGGCGAACGGACACAGGGAGGTCCACATTTCATCCGCGACCTTGGAAAGGTTGAAGGGTACCCTTCATTTGCCCTCGCTACCCTGCACAAAATCGCGACGACTTTTCCTCCCGCGGTGGTTTCCAGGTCGGAAACCGAGTGAAAACACGACAGAGGGCGTTTCCGAGGCCGCGTTTCCGGGTGTGTGGGGTTCCGGAAACAGGCTTTTGGAAAACGAAAACGGCCTTCCAAGGACTTTGCGCAAGCCTGTGGGGTACCAGAAAACTTTCCGCGGCAAAGTTTTTCCAAGGCGGAAACCTGTGGGGTCCAAGCCCGAAACAAAGCCTAGCCCTGCCTAGAAATCAGCTTGAGAAATCTCTATTCTGTCCAACAACTGGGAACCGGGCCCAGCGTCCCCTTTGTGGGCCAAGTCGCAGAAAAGGTGAGGGAGGCATGTAAGAGCCAAAGGGAGAGGCAATATCCCAGCGAGCTGAGACCCCGCTTGGGATTGAAGAGTTTATTTTTTTTTTCGTTTTTGGCAAGTGTCAGCTGTCCGTTTTTTTGTTTTTGTCGTCTGCACGTCTGTTCTCCGTGGAAAACGCCCTGCTCTTTGGCAGGGCACGAAATCAAGTGTCAGCAGCAAAAAAAAACAACAACACAACAAGGAACGAACCGAGCTAATATTCTCGGCAGATGCATTCGTGGAAGCAGCACTGTTAGGGCCTCGCTGCACTACTCTCGAAATGCGCAAAACGAGAGCGAATCTTCTGCTAGAATATGGAAAGATACACGGCCATGATTTTTGTCTGTTGTGCATGTCGAGAAAAGTGCAGCGACGCCCTCATAAGGTTTTTTGCCATTTAGTGTTTTTTTTGCCGTTTTGAACTAAAAGTGTGACCCAGGAGCAGTTTCCCCTTTTTTTTTCCTTTTACAAAACAAGTCACTTTATGGGCCTCCCTGCACTACTCTAGACTCTCGAATTTTCGAGAGTACAACGTCGCTGCACTTGCTCTCAATAGGGAAACTCTCGAAACCCCATAGAGAGCTGTCAGCGGGCACACTACATGGCCACTCTCGAAACGTCGAGAGTCGCCCGCCTGCAAAACAGGGATTCACAAGTGTCCTCGGGAGTTGGCCGCCGACCCGCTCGTTTTTCGAGAGTGGACCTCCTGTCCCGGCGGCCAGACTTTGTCCCGTAGTGCAGTGCTGCAGCTCTACTGTCGAGTGGGACGAGGCGCAGGGTTTGGAGAGTTCATCTAGTGTAACAGTCTATAGAGTAGAGAGGGACCCCACATCGGCGCGTAAAATTTTTGGAATTCCCACGCGTGGCGGATGTCATCCGCGGCCATCGGACAGTCTCATCCGCATGGGATCCCACAGTGTCCGCATTGCAAGGGGGGTCCGCAGAGGTCGCTTTCCCGAAAAGGAAACAGAGGAGAAACTTTCCTTTTCGGGATAGTATTTTCGAAAGACCCGTGCGGGTGGTGTGGTCCAAGGACAGTTCGTGGTSTGTCCGTGTGGCCCTTCTGCGCGACGACGGGTGACRCCTCGTGGACAAGCGACAAGCGAAATGCAAGAGGCGTCGCACAGCCCCGGAGCCTTCCATATGCAAAGTGGCCCGCTCCCCTTCGTGTTTTGGCGTAGAGCCGTTGGCGGTGTCCCACTGTGTGGGGTAGGCTGGGCAGCAGTGGCGGTGCCAACGGCTGGGTTCCATGTGCGTTGGAGGGAAAAAAACAAGTGTCCCACGCGGTTGTCTTCACAGGGCACGCGGGACATCTCTGCGAAGGTGCGGCCGTGGAGTCGGTGATACCCATCCGCCATAGCTTGCACACCAGCAAGAACGTCTGTGCGGTGACGTCTGCCGTGACGTCTGTGCCGAAATATTCGTTGTTTTTGTATCGTTTCTGCTGGAGGCGGCTTGGCATAGCGGAGGGTGATGGTTCCATGGCCATGGATTGGGAAGGTGCAGGCGAAGTCGGGGAGGGGGGTGAAAGCGAGGACGTCCTCTTCACCATGGTCCTGACGGTGTTGGAGATGGTCCGGCAGCGGAACAGGGCGGCGCTGTCGATTATCAACGCTGTTGCTGCAGCGTCGACGTCCTGCCCGGAAATGGCGAATGTTGTCATGCTCCTGGCAGGAGGGTATGCGCATAGCGTGTCTCTGGTGTCTGCTGCTTACAGCTTCCTTGTGCAATGACGTCCGACCAGAAGGCGGTTCTGGGTGCTAGACAGGACAGTCGGGACATGGAAAGACCTCCTGCGGGTTGGTGACGCTCACGACAAGGTGTTTCGCAGATTCTGTCGGCTTCCAAGAATGCTGTTCCAGGAGGTTGCTGCCCGCATCGGTCCCCATATCCAGCGGCAAACAACAAATTGGAGACAACCATTACCTGCGGAGCAGAAGTTCGCATGTGCACTCATTTGATGGGCGACGGGAGGGTACTACAGACAAATGGGTCATGGGTTGGGGATGGGTTTGGCGAGCGCTTTGCGTAGCAATGAGGAGGTTGCTGATGCAATTATCAGAGAGTACGGCCACCTCGTTGCGTTCCCCCAAGGGCGGCGTCTGCAGGAAGTGTTGGATGCTTTTGAGGCGAAAGGCTTTCCAGGGTGTGTAGGTGCAATTGACTGCACCCACATGTACATTGAGAAGCCCAGGAACGAGCGGCCGGAATGCTACTACGACCGCACGAGACAATACTCCATTGTCGCTCAGGTAATGTGTGACCACGAACGCAGGATCCTTGATGTGTCCGTTGGCTGTCCGGGGTCTGTTCACGACTCCCGTGTCATCCGTTTGTCGAACTTGTACATAAACGCACAGGGCAATCGGGGCATCTTTCATGAAGGTCACTCCTTCCTGTTCGATGGAACCGTCGTGCGACGTTATGTTTTAGGCGACGCAGGTTATCCTTTGTTGCCATGGTTGATGACTCCCAAGGGAGGGGACAGTCGCACTCCAATGGAGGTGTGCTACAATGAGTGCCATACCGTGGCAAGGAGTCCGGTCGAACGAACGTTCACGCTGCTGAAGGGTGTGTGGAGGAACTTCAGGAGGAGGCAAATAGGCAACATGACAACCATTCGCAAGGAGTTCATGGCATGTTGCATCCTCCACAACCTCATGTTGGACATGAGGATTGACATCGATCCGGACGACCTTGGCAGCGACTCAGATGGGGACGACGACTCCGATGGTGATGACGGACGGCCACGCAAGCGACGCCGTCGAGGCAGGAACAACATCCAGCATGATCGGCCGTGCCCGTGAGACCCGCGAGACGACACTTACGGCAGCGCCGAAGGGAAGGTGGCAAAGGCGAGGCTCATGCGGCATGTTGAACACCATGTTCGGGTTCATGGTCGACCTGGTCCTGGTCCCTGTCCTTGGCGCGGTTCGTAGTGTCGTTTCTAGAAGAGAGAGAGAGAGAGAGAGAGAGAGAGAGAGAGAGAGAGAGAGAGAGAGAGAGAGAGAGAGAGAGAGAGAGAGAGAGAGAGAGAGAGAGAGNGACTCCATCTATAGGTGGGGAGCATCACCTGCTGGAAAGCGGGTCCAGCGTCCCTTATACAGAATGAGAGAATGAGAGAATTGAAAAAGTTGAGGAGGCTGCCTGCCAGCATATTGTTAGCTATCTTGCCTCAATTCTTCGCACCACAAGATTCTTTTCCTTTTCTCGAACTGAAGTGTGAAAGGGCAGCAGCCGCAGCACATAGCACAACGATATTCTTTCCTCTGTCTTTTCCGAAAAACACGACGGCCTTGGTAATTTGAGAATTATTGTCTTATTTCATTCGTCCGGATCCCAAGTAAAATATGTATCTCAACAGTTCACGGGTGTACCAACTGAGCTATCCTTCTTTCGTCATGCCGTTCACGGCAAAAATTGAAAACAAAAACCACGCCCACAGTAGAATCCAAGACAAAACAGAAAGCTTCGGCATTAGACAAAGTCGGATGAAAGACGCTGGACCCAATTTCCAGCCGGTGCAGCAACCCGGCACTGGACTGGAGCAATACATTTAAACCACCAGTAAGTTCCCCCGCTATTTTTATCTGGCACATCATTTTTTGCACACGCCGTGTCCTTTGGGGTCCGGCCTACAGATCCGTTTGGCTGGCGCTGGCAGCCAAAACGAAGAAAATTTGCATCATGCTGATTCTTGTTTTCCTTTGGGAGCACTGCACAATGCACCTCCGGAAAAAAACCTCATTTTATCACATTGATTTCAATATGTATTTGAGTAGAAAAATCCATGATAATGAGAATTATCATTTTATTTATAAGATGCAAAAAAAAAAAAAAAAAAAGAAGAGGAGCTAATGTGAGTAAGGATACTATCTCCAATATGACAACTTCTATAAGAAACGGCAATTTAAGCAAAGCTAAAATCCACCTCCAAAGTCCTGGTGGTTTAAATTAGGAAAAGGGCCTCACTGCACCCCTTGCAACAGTAGAGTTTTGGTGAACGGGAACATTGTTGCTCCATCACTCAGCACGGCCAGAGTGGCACAAAAAGTTCTTTTTCTCAAGGTAACACAGCTGTGGCGAGTATTCACTAAGGCTTCCCTTTTACCCGCCTGCAATGGTGGGATGGTGGTCCCTCCTCTCGGCCGCCCACCAAAAGTGCTGAGTAACTCACCGTCCCAACCGGGCCCACCCAGCCCCAGCCTTGTCCTGTGCGGTACACGCTCAAGTGTAGTGAGCGGTGGAGCGACGGCTGCCTTTCGGTGAGAAAAGCCCGGTGGTGAGTACTCGTTACAGGAAACAAAGTTCGGCGAGTGGTGGAGCGAAGCCCAAGAAAAGCTGAGGGAGTAGAAAAGGAGAGAAAAAAAGATACGGATAGAAGAGGGCAAATGACATCCAGCAAAAAGAGAATTCACAAAAGATGAGCAAAAAGGCACCCAACATGATGTTCAAGGGGGAGGGGATTGAGGCACACTCGCCCACGACGTTCCGTAAATAGTCTCATGAAAAGCAATCGTAATGATCAGAAACAAAGATGTACTCCATTGCCTACCAAACTAGGAAAAGAGGGGGCAAGCAAGAGAATCGAAACACGATCTTGGAGACAAAAGCCTAGACAGAATGATTCTGTAGAGACTCCCCATCCTGCAAAAATCTAGCCAAGGAAGATGAGGGAGAGAAGGACAGGGAACATAAGGGGAGGAGGGGGGAGTTGTAGCTGTATACTGGCATCTGGAACCCACATTTCACGACAGGGGTATCCAATAATACAAATCCGATGGCCAGGAGATGCTCCTGAATTGATGTGGAGCAGTCGCCATTCTCTTTCAGGTCTGGATGCAAAGGAACGTGGAGAGAGAGAGAGAGAGAGAGAGAGAGAGAGAGAGAGAGAGAGAGAGAGAGAGAGAGAGAGACAGAGAGAGAGACAGAGAGAGAGAGACAGAGAGAGAGAGACAGAGAGAGAGAGAGAGAGGTTTGAAAGAAGCTATTATTTTGTGATATCTGTGTCGACATGTCTTCCTTTGTTTTTCGTTTATGGTGTTGTTCTCACACGTATATGACGATATGTGCATATACATATATAGATTTAAAACTGACAACATATATATCGTCACATAACATGAGAGCGCCAAGCGAAAACAAAAAAACAAAAACACAGCCGAAAGGCAAAGAGGCAAAGAAAAGAGGAACGAAACATCCCAAACAGAACAAAACAACAAAAACACACACACATATATATATATATACATTTCATAGTCAATTTTGGGCCATGCATTTTCAATGACAAACGATCCCCACATCGGCGAACAAT